GTGGATCATAACCCCGCTGCGGCTCTGCACCGCCCGGGTGGGATCCCCGTCCTAAATGGGCAGAGGCAACCCTGGGGCAGGGTCTCTGCAGCAAAGGCTCGCTGCAAACCGGCCCCCCGGGCTGGCAGGGCAGCACAGAGCGGCTGCCCTGCTTCGGGGAGGATTTTCCGGTTGTGTGAGGTGGAGGAAGGCTCTGAATCCTCCTCCCTGGTAAGGCGAGAGCCAAAGCTGCTCCTCCTGTCTCACTCGTCCAGGGGTAATTTTGCAATTTGCCAGCCCCTATCCGACACCCGCACGCAAAACCAGCGTGGTGGAGAACAAGTGCTGGGCTCCATTTTAGGACAGCCTGTGCCACGTTAAGTCATACAAATAAATAAATGCCCAGCAAAAAAAAACCCTCTCTCCTATCTGCCAAGTGCACAGTACATCAGCAAAGTGGATCAGCTTCATGCTGGCCTGCAAAATACTCCTGGCACTGCAGATTTTCCATGAGTGATCAGGCAGCTTTTCTGGGTAAAAATTCAATTTATAATTCTAAAATTAGACCAGGAACATAGTAGGGTAGCCAAGAAAAGAAAGTTTGGCTGGTGAAAGCAGCCCTGCCCGGCAATCACCCAGCAAAAGGTATGTTACATAAATCCAGCCTGAAGCTGAACAACTCCAGCGCTGCTGATGGGGAAATATCTGGTTGTAAATCCATTAAGCTTCACTGATCCGACAGTGTTAGAACTTCAGAGTCCTGCCATTTTTTATTTTTTTTTTAACAACTTAAGCTTATTTAGCTAATGAGCTGCTTTATTCTTCTGAAAAGAAACAGTGCTGAGGGTGAGGATGTGCTATGGCTCGATGCAAGCATGGCTGGCAGCAAAGGGGATGGTAACGAGAGGCCAGAAACCCCTCAGGGACCAGGGAATGGGGGACGGCTGTGCTGTCAGAGCCAGCTGTCCAAGCCTGTCCCTTCCCAAGCCCCCTGGCATGGGCTAGGAAATAACCTCCTGCTGCTTTTCCTTTCCCCGTCCGCAGCCAGGAGCATCCCGCCCCGAGGAGCGATGCCATCGGTACCCAGACGATGCCAGGGGCTGCCCCAGCCCCATGCGTGAGAGCCGACGTGCTGGGGACCCTGTGCCATGACCTGGACCCCGTGTCCCACCCTAGGCTGAGCATCGAGGGACGCAGAGAGCAGGTGAGCAAAGCCACGGCCGTCAGCAACCACCCTGCCCTGGGGACTCAGGCTTTCCAAACCCACCAGATTTAGGGGTTGGATGAGGTCCCTTGCCTTGGTTGAGGCTTGCCTTTGGTCCCCGACACTGGGGCTCTGTTTGCAGAGGGTACCCGTCACTTTGAAATACACCCGGCCCCTCCGGCACGCCAAAGGGCTGCTCCCAAACCCCCCGCGGGGCCGCATCCGGCACCGGCGGGTGTGTATTACAGTGACAGCTCTGGAAAGGGCTCAGGGCTGTAAATGAAATCCCTGTCTCAGGGAGCGAGCTCCACACTGAGGGCCTCTGTGGTCTGGTCTTCATCAATAAATCTCCCTCAATAAATCCTCTCGAGTGGAGTGGAGGGGTGGGGGG